AGCAATAGCCTCTCTCTCTCTCTCTCTCTCTCTCTCTCTCTCTCTCTCTCTCTCTCTCTCTCTCTCTCTCTCTCTCTCTCTCTCTCGCTCTCTCGCTCTCTCTCTCTCTCTCCCAAGACCAGCCTGCACAGCTTTCAAGCTTCTCCTCTCGACCGCTCGGCACTACCTCTCAAGCAGCATCTACTCTCTCTCCCGTCTCGCTCCCCTTTCTCAGCCAATCTCTCTCTCTCTCTCTCTCTCTCTCTCTCTCTCTCTCTCTCTCTCCGCACACACACATACGCACTATCTATCTATTCCGCTTTGTTCGGAATCTCCACTTCCTCTCAGTTCTCATTCGAGATCTTTAGCTACGTCTTCGTTTATCGTCGGATGCCACCGTATGTCGCTTCGTCTGTCTTCTTCGTGGTCCTCCAAGTCCGTATCGCTCCTCATCATCAATCATGCGGCTAGGCACACTGCTGTCGAGGTCGAGGACTTTTGCTACTTGCTATCGATAACACACGCCGCGACTGGGAAAGAACCGTGCGAGAAGGTCACCGTAGATCACCTCCTAAACCCTGCTACTTGCTACATCCGCCACTATCACACTGTCCTCGCCTTCCTCTCCGCCGTCGCCTCTTCCACGCACAGAACCTGAAGACAAAACGCGCGTGAGGACAGGGCAGGCAACTGCACCTGAGGACAGAGAACGCAAGGGCGCGTGAAGACACGTAGAGGACCTCAGCATAGCTCGTAAAGCGGACAAGACAAATAGCAGATACGCACGCTTGGAAGAAGGGTATTGACGTCACGATCGGGAGGCAAGATTGACAGTGCGTTCGGGGCGATGACAGAAGTGCGCTGTAGCCTGGGATGGCTGGCGGAGGACCTAGCCGGCGAGTAAACTGCTATGCGTCGCTCTGCACACCTCTGTTGCTTCCGAAGCTACGGCCGTCTGTACTCCATTTCGACCGTCAATCTTGTGCATCCTGACGGTCGTCAGCTATCCTCGGAATCAAATTTTCAAATTTTGGCGGGCGATAGCCGCTGCTCAGGCCGATTGCGATTCTACCAACTCGAAAAAGCAGGCCTCCTCGCCGCCGCAGCGCGCCTGCCGCCCCGCCCTGTCCTGGACTGTCCCTGCACTGCCGCCGAAAGTCCAACGCAACTGGTCGTCGGCTAACTGCCGCCTCCGGCTGAACCAAATGCATCGGCAAGGGAACAGAACAATTTACCCCTCTTGCGGCCGAACTGGGGTTCGTCCTAGCGGGCAGGCCAAGGTAGGGCGTACCGCCCAAGGGCACGGGGCGCCGCGCCCTGTGCCGTCGCTTTGGGCGACAGGTCCCGCCCAGATCCTGCATGGACGAGGCCGGGGTCTCAGCCGAGCTGCCGCCCGCTCGCCCTCCCGCGGCAGCGTGGCTTGCGTTCCAGGGCCTAGTTGCACTACTCGCCATCCGTCACTTTCTTTTCTTTTTTTTTTTGGGGAAAAAGCGAGAATTCCATTCAAGACCAAAACCTATGAGGCCGGGAATCCTCACAAACAACCCGGAACTACTCCAGACTCAGACTACTGGGGCAGGCCCAGCAGGAGTTCAGTGGGCATTAGCGCCCAACAATTCAGACGTACCGAACGAACGAACCAGACAAAAACTACACTACCCCTCTCTCCACAGCCTAACTTTTTTTGAAAAGTTTTACCTTTTTCCTAGTCCTCCCCACTACCCCCGAAAAAACTACCCTGGGAATCCAGACGAATGGGGACGGCGCCGCCGACTGCGCTGGTTTAGCGCTCGGGGCCTGCGCCCGCCTACCGGGAACCGCACGTGGTCACCGCTAGGCACATCGACAGTTCTCGCTCTACCGCAGTGCGAGTTACTGTGGGTACGGCGATTCACCATGGCCTCGGCTATGGCAGAGTGAGAATCTCATCGTTCACTCATATCCCCGTTTACCCAGATGGTAGATGTCCTCCGCGTCTACAGTGGTAACTGTACATCATTCCCCGTCAATCTCAAGTGGCGTGGGTAAAGTGAGAGAAGGTGAAGTCTCATAGCCGGCTATACGCAACCGGATCGGTCGAAGGAAAGACGCGCAAGCAGCCAAGGGGCGAATGCTGGTTACGGCATGGACAGATACGGGCCTCCGACAGGTACTAGGAATGGCAGCAGGTGAAGACGTTCGGCAACGATCGAGCTACGGGGTAATATCACATCTTCTTCGCAGAACCTCCATGGCAGAAGTAAAAGCACATCGGTAGATTGTTTGTATATCTAGGCCCTGTCAGACCTCAGAATTAGGGATAGGGTTACTCGCGAAGGACTGGTACTCAAATGTGGATTCCGATGGGTAGCTCACTCTAGTCATTGGATTAGGGCAATACATCAGGACTCACAGCTCGGGACCCGTCAGTGCCAATCTCACCTGCTATTCCGACCGAGTAGGAGTTAAGATCGAGTCGATTAGACTTGGTACAATCACTGGGCTGTTGAGATCTGGGTTTCAAATCTCACCTCACACTGCGTTTTACCAAGGCACGTGGATTGGAGAAGAGGTAGCAGCCTATGTGCAGCTACGCTACCACCCAGGTTACGGCTGTAAACGCGCTCCTAATTTACCTAACTTGCAGCACATCGAGTCCGAGTAAGTCAGCTATACGCCCCCTCCCCTCCGGAAGGGGCGCTCCTCTTCTATACGCTTTAGCTAATTTGTACTCGACAACAATCAGCTCCGATATGGCGGAACAAGCCACGGTAGAGTATGTCATGGCGGAAGGGGATGTAGAAGGATCGCAGGAATCTCACCCAGATGCATTCGATAAAAGAGCTCGAATGCTCTTGTCACTGTGTTATGACAATGGATTATGTCCGAAGGATGTCCCCATTGACGACGTTGTCATCGAAGGTAACGAGGCGGTAGTGACAGTGAACGAAAAATTCGATGATATAAAAATCAGATGGCTAAAAGAACGCACAGTGGTAATCATTTTCCGGGATGAAGCACGCGACCTACCACGAAGGGTAAAAGAGGACATTGTTAGAGCCTATGAGAATGGCTGGCAGAAGGATGGAATTTTTTATCCCCCGGCAGAAAGGGGACGAATCAAATTTGAGGGACCAAACGTTATCTCCTATGTGGCGAGGGACAAAGTGGTGGCGGAATGGATGATAAATGAGGGGGAAGGTGAGGTGACGCTGAAGAGAATGCAGTACATTTTCGCAATGAACGCCTGGATGATGAGGGTGGAGTGGAAAGAGTTTCGCAAAGTGGAGCTAGAGAATACATTTTGGGTTTTGGCCATACAAGTCCCGCTAGACACGTATGTATACCTCTACTCAGCTCTGAAGCGTGTAATCGGTCCAGTGTTGAAAATGGAC